AGCCCGAGCCATGGATGGCAAAAAGGGAGAACATGTATCCATGGTACTTGAATTGTAAGTTCTGGATATGTTTTCCACAGGGGGTCAAAACTCTGATGAAGTTCAAGTATAGGGGTTGTTGTTGGTATAGACTGTGTCTCTGTTCAGTGTTCACACAGTCTTTACCAGCCGCATGAAGTAATTCCCGCTTTGCCAGCCTATCTGGTTCCTGGATCTGCTGCGCTTCAGCTGCAGGGTTTATGACGGACAATGCCTTATTTAGGGAGCCATTCGTTGGCTGTGGATGGCGTCGCGCAACGGGCCTTTCTTTCCTTCTGGGTCTTAGTAGTCTTAGACTGACTGGTGGGATGGACTCGCACTGCCTATCATCGTCACCCGAAAGATCTCCCATTCAACGCTAAACCCGCGCCAGTCTGGAACTAATTCCATCCCATCTTTCTCCCTCGACGCTCTGTTTTCCAGCACAGCAAAGCTAGACTCGACATTGATTAGTCTACTTCTTGTGTACTGAATTAGTACTATCTCTCTCCCCATCATTTCCCCTCCCCTTCTTCTTCTTCTTCCTTCTTTTCTCTCTCTCTCGCTTCCTTCCGACGCTTTTCGCCCGGACAGCGTGGCTCAGCATCATCATCTTCTTCTTCCCCTCCTCGCTCCGTTGTCTCTCTCTCTCTCTCTCTCTCTCTCTCTCTCTCTCTCTCTCTCTCTCTCTCTCTCTCTCTCTCTCTCTCTCTCTCTCTCTCTCTCTACACTACTCTCATCTCATCTTAATCGATCGTTCATCTTTTCACACAATCTCATCTAGACTTGTGTATGACTTCGTTACTCAACGACGCTGCTTGTTCCCGTCCCCACACATAACTACCACTACACATACCCACCCGGCTCTACAGATCGTCCACCTGCGCCGGTGTTTCGAGATTATCGCTTTCACGATTCTTTGGCTCACGCCCTCGGTCTCCCTCGACTTGCTGATATTGTTTACCCTTCCTTTCCCCTTCGGTTCCTCTTTCGTCTTTCAATCTTCCGATCAATCCGCTCCATCTTTTCCCGCTTTCTTTCAACTGTCCGACTGCACGTCGAATTGTGAACCCGGCCTCTCAGGCCCTCCCCTCCCCCTGGTCTCTCTTCCTTCTCTTCTTTTTCCCTTTCCTTGGGCACCCTGTCTCTCTCACTCTCTGTCCCTGTTGGCCCCATTCTTTCTCCCGTCGTTTCAAGCCAAATTTCCCACCCTGTCAAAAAATTAATTCTTATTGCTCCTTATCACCCGCCTGTGTAATCATAATTGGTGCCCTCTTCTTGTTCCCACATTCCAGATCTGCAGCGGAGCCCATCGTGACCGACGTGGGTCTGCCGAACTCGATCGAATTATTCACCGTCATCACCACCACCACCGTCTGACCACACCTACTCTCCGTGACCTTGGTTGCATGGTGTCGCGCTTCGTGCCTCTTTAGCCATGGGTTCGACACAGTTTGGCAATTTCAACGTGGGTTTGCGATTGATCTATCGCCTGCATCTGCCGGAATATCGAAGAAGCTGACCGTGAATGATCTGCATGTGCAGGACTTTTGTCGAGATTCCACACTGCCCGTCTGCAATGTACGTTTTCCCTTCCCCAATTTACTTTATCCCCAGTTGCCTTTTTTTTTTGTCCCTGTCATCGGCTGTCAATGCTCAATTGATACATTCCATGTGGCTGACCATGTGCTTCCGATAGCTCTTTGTCTCCAACAACCAACCCCCTAATGAGGCGTACGGAGGATGCCCGCTTCACGGTATCGAACTCAGCGATAACCGCTACCTCAGCAATCTGGGTATGGCATACCAGACAGGCTCATGGTGGAATGCTTAGCGCTAATCTCCACAGGCTCGATTCTTCTCGCGTTCATTTCCATTCTAGTATCGCTGTTCCTGCTCTTCAGGTCGGATCGCAAACGGGCGGCAGTCGGAAGGAGGTACGCGACAAATGATTGGACAAGGAATATGGAGGGAAAAGTGCTGATTGGAATAGGGAAATGCAAATATTTCTGCTGGCATTTATCGTCGTTGAAATCTGCGAGATCTTCTCTGTGGGCGGCTTCCCTCTGGATGCAGCAGTGCGCAAGGTTAGTGGTGCGACTCCTCACACGGATTGCCGTGTCTAATCAGCATGCATAGGGCTTCTCCGCTGCACATGTCGCTGCAATCACCGCAACGTGCTGGATTCTTTTTCTAAATGCCGTGGTGGGCTATCAATTCCTCGACGACGGTACCCCGGCCTCAATCGGTCTAATCCTTGCCTCCGCCCTGGTTCTCTTCATCGGTACGGGCTATATCGCCCTGGACACGGCTTTCGATTGGACCGGTGAATTCGCGACAACCGAGGCAAACAACTATCGCAACATTGCCCTCTATGTGCTGTACCAACTCTTTCCTCTCATCTGCCTCGTCGCGTTTTATGTGTTGGAGGCTGTCCTAGTTGTTCGGATCTTGGGCGAAGTTCGACCAATGAGTATGTTCACAAACTATCTCCGGATGATCTTCCTCTGTTGCATCTGACTCTAACCTGTCGATAGTCTACTTGACTGCTGCCGCCCTGTTATTCGCCATCGGACAAATCTTTGAATACGTGATCAGCGTTCACCTCTGCCACGCCTCCGGCAGCAAGATCAACGGCGCATTGTTCGAGACACTATTCACTCTTTTGGCAGTTGTTACGGTATGGAGCTTCTGGAGCAGCATTACCGAAGACGATTGGCCTATGCCGATAACAACTGGAGGTACATACCATTAGAGCACTCCGTGCGGAAAGCTCCCTGTCCCCATTAATACTCCCCTCCATTTCCTCCTCATGTCCGACTTGTTTATATTACTTCTCTACGATCCTTGCACATCGGTGCTTCGATACCCGCCCTTTGCTCTTCGCATACTCGACGCGTCCACGGAGTTTACGACGGGCTATGTTCTCGCCATCTTTTGTGATACCTTTTACGTTTTATGATGTTTTTTGATGCGACGTGGTGTGGTTTTATGCTTTGACTATGACTTGATTCTATCTATTGTGGGATGTGATCTACTTGCCCTGTTGACGAGTGTGTGATCCCAGCCGGTACCTACCTATCTTTGGTCTTAATTCTTGCTTCCAGCTAGATACCTATTTGCATTGTAATTAGTACGATGACGTTACTTTCCTTACCAACATCTGCAGCAGACTATGGATTCGCGCTCGATATATCACCAGTACTATAATATGACCTCGAGTGCAGAGACCGGTGATAATGATACTACTATCTATACCCCAAGAATTGCTACCGTACTCCCACAACTACCTACATGGCAGCATGAGCATTAAAGATGATTACTATATGTATCGCGTTATCAACGACAATCCGTTTCAGCACAAGATAGGACAAGGATTGAAGAAGATAGTTATGTACATAAAAGCCCCGCAGGTTACACCGGAGAATTTTTCCCACGAACCCACTCCATACCAGGTCTTTCTTCAAGGAGGACATATATAGTATGCATCATGTATGCAGCTAGCTGCAAGTCCACCGCGATTACTCTATGTTTATATCGACGTCCATCTCGACTGCGGACTTGAACAGTAGGAGAACAGGAGAGAGAGGGTGCAGAGGAGAGAAGAGATGGGGGGAGGTGGTAATGTGAGAGTGAGAGTGAGAGTGAGAAGATATACACAACATGCGAATGCCGATCTCTTTCAACAAAGAAGAAACAAGACAAGACAAGACAAGACAATGAAATGAAATGAAGGGCAAGGGCAAAGTGAGAAGAGAACCACAGAGACTAAACCATATAAATCTAAATCCCTCCATATCACCCACTACCTCCATCCCCTCTCCCTTTTCCCTCACCCAATAGAGTATATAAATATAAGCGAACAACCCCCTAAATTACAACCTCACCTTAACATCCACACACGGCAACGTCCACTCCCTCTTCCCCAAAAGACTCCTCAACCACTCAAGCCCAATACCCGTCCACTCATCATGCGCGGAAGTCGTCGTCGTCGTCCCCGTCGACGCCGCCGTGGCTAACGTTCCATTCAGGGCGAGTCTGCGTTGCGCTTCTTTGACGACGGCGCCGGCGAGGGCCTTGGTGGTGCTGTTGACGGTTTCGAAGACGTAGCTGGCGAGGGTTTCGTTGACGGATGATGATGCGGTATCTAATGTGGTGGTGGTGGTGGAGTAGCGCGGAGAGAACCAGTCACCGCGGAGATCGAAGAAACATTTGTCGGACCAGTGACAGGAGGAGATGAAGAGGATGAGGAGGAGCGCGGAGCAGTAGATGCAGGGTCGGTGGAGGATGTAGGTTAGGGTCACGAAGGAGATGATGAAGAGGGGAGAGGCGTTTGTTGGGATGAAGAGGAGGGGGAGCCAGCTATATTTTGTTTGATTTAGTATATATGATTTTGGAGAGATCGGTATGGATGGGTTAGGTTGGCTTGCTTTGCTTACCTCCGGAGACAGAACATGGTGCTGGTTTGGGTTTTGGGGGGTTTGTCGGTGGTCGTTTGGGATAGTGGTTGGTGAGGGTAGGTAGGTATTTGGACGGAATTGCGGCAATGATGTCGATCGGTGATAAAGTGGTTTTGGTTTGGTTTGGTTTGGTTTGGTTGAGTGACGGTGACAGTGACAAGTGACAGTAAGAGTAGTAAGAGATGGTGGCGAGGGAAATGTAAGGGAAGGGTACCGGTAAGGTTGTCCGAGGTACCTCACTTCCGAGGATTGACAGTTAATTGGTGAGGTGTGAATCTGAATTGTGAGTGAAACTGATGTCGGTGAATTATATGACTCGATTATAATAATTAGTACTAATCATGATAGTTTTTATGGTTCGTGGTTCTTTTCTTTTCCTTTTCCTTCATCCTTTTCCCATACATACCATACCTGACCATACAAAGCATCAGCCACACCGCCTGCCAAATTCATTAGCCACAAAAACCTCTCCGCCGTTCATTTCTTCCGCTTCTCGCTTCGACTCGCTCTTCGCCGAGCTTTCTCTTCTCTCTTCCTCTTTTCCCTTTCTTCCTTCCCTTCTCCCTTTTCTCCCCCTTCGTTGTGTACTATAGTCAGTCCGTCCTTTTGGTCTTCTTGCTTGTTCTGCTTGCATTCCTTTTTTCTTTCTCCTTCGCGAGTCTGCCTGCTCCTTTTTCTCGCGTTCTCTTTCCTTTGCCTCGCTTGTTGTCTCTCGAAAGAGAGCTTCTTCGCACGACCTTTGGAGCTTGAATTTCGTTTGGAGGTCGCCTCTTCCACCCCGGCGAGCGACAGAAATGTCCACCCCCAATGATCTTCAGGCCCTTCTGGCCAGCATCAGGCCGCGTCCCTCGCCATCGGGCACCCCTGCTCATGATGCTCCCATGCAGCAACAACAGCAGCAGCAGCACCCCGGCCAGTACCAGCCTGCTTACCGCCAGCAACAGCAGCAGTTCCAGCCGCCCTATGACGGCCAGAGCTACCCTCACCCTCAACACCTTCACCACCACGGCTACCGTCATCCATCCGTCTCGTCGAATATCCATAGCCCGTCGCCCGTTAATACTCCGCCTCATCATGGCTCGGATATCCTTAGTCCCAACGTTTCCACTCCGCGTGCGGACATTTATCCCCAGCAGCAGCCGCAGCGGCAGCCGCATCATCAGCCCTTGCCGCAAAACCCCGACCGTGCTGTCAACCTGTTGAACCTCCTCAAGTTCAACCAGCCTCCGGCTGCTCCTGCTCAGCAACAGCAGCCGCCGCCTGCGGTGATGGCTGGGATCGATCAGCCCAAATACCCCGAGGCGCGTGCTGCTGCTCCGGAAGAGGCTTCGTCGGGCCATGCGAGGAACATCTCTGCGTCCGACCTTGTCGCGTCGCTCTTTGGACAGGGTCAGTCCACTGCTCCACCTGTTAGACCGGCGGGTACTCACCCTGGTCAGCTTGGGGCTGCGGCTGCGAGTCCCGGTGTGGCGGAGAGCTCCTCTTCTGCTGCTCCGACCGCAGAGAATACTCAGGAGATGTTGCTCCGTCTGCTGAACCGCCCCAAGCCCGCTCAGGACGTGTCGGAGGGACCTGTGAGACCTGTCTCTCAGTCTCCATCTACTGTCTCTCCCATCAAGTCGCCCGTGCCGGAGGCAGAGTTGAGAAACATCCTGCAGCCATCTGGTCCGGTTGTCGGAGACTCGGCTGCCCGTCCGGAGGAGCCTCTGTCTGGGAAACTGGACAAGCCTTCTGGAAAGGAATCGATGTTTACTTACGTCAATCCATTCGAGCAGCTGGCTGCCGCCTCCCCTCGAGTCAAGTCTCCTCAGCCTAAGTCTCGGAGTGAGAGTCCAGCCGTGGAAATCATGACGAACAAGAAGGTCAGCATTGTCACCAAGGCTGAGAACGCGCCGGCGCCCAACTCCGTGGAGTCCACCGAGGATAAACGCGCCGCATCGCCCGCTCTGGCCGAGGAGCAGAAGGAAGCTGTTACGCAAGTGGTTGACAAGCTCGTGGAGGAAATCAGCCGTGAGGTGGATACTGCTGCTTCCAAGTCTGCGGAGCAGCAGGTGTCTCAGATCGCGTCAGCTCAGGAAGAGAGCGCTCAGGCAGTTATTTCGTCTGTTGCTTCTCACCTGCGCGAGACGGCGGCTGAGGCGAAGGAGGACACTGAACCTGTCAACAACAAGACCGACAAGGAAGAAACTGAAGGCACCGCCCCGTCCGCTGCTGCGAAGGAGACTTCTCAGAGTGGCAGCGGCGATGCGCTGGCCGACAGCTGGGAGAGCGCGGAGGACAGCGCTGAGAAGGAGGAAGAGCGTGTCGTCTCCGTGCATAACTTCCCTCTGAAGCCCTTCATCTCCATCATCGTCAAGGCCCACACTGGGAAACTTGCAACTCTGCGGGATGACGGCATCATGGACATCGCTCGGCTTAAGAAGGACTTCGATCAGCTTGATCGCTCTTTGACGTCCGCTACTTCCGACTACATCGTCTATGCATTGGCAAAGAATGGAGGCATGCGTATCATTCGCCAGGACGACGGAAGTGACAAGCAAGTGTTCCGCTCCGCTCGTGACCGCGTGTTCAACGTTGCTGTCTGTACTTCGCAGGCGGTAACTGGCCGCAGCACCGAGGAGCAGGCGCTCCTTGGTATTGGCGTGAGCGGTGCAGTCTACTGGGCCTTGATCTCGCGCGCCGATAAGGATCTTTTCGAACTGGACGCTCTCGAGAGCGAGAGCCTCATTTTCCCACCTTTCCCGGCCTCGGACGAGAACACTTCGGGCGGCCAGCTGAAAACGCGGGCCAAACGGAGCTCTCGCCATCCTGGTTTCTTTGCCATTGGCCGCGGAAAGAACATCTACGTTGTTTCGCCACAGGCTGCTATGAACCCTAGCTATGGTGTCGCAGGCCCCCAACGCGTCGTCAACACTGAGAAGTTCTTCAAGGAGCGTGCTCTGAAAATCTCGACCGGCAAGGCCGGCAAGGACTTCATGTTTAGCGACGACGACACTGTCATTGCCTCTCTGGACAAGACCGGCCGACTGCGCTTTTGGGACATCCGGGAGGCGATTAGCAATCCTGCCTTCTTTACCGCTGGGCCTGGCCCGGCTGAGGTACGAGTTCCATTGAACACTTTCGTTACTGGTTCCCCTACCGAGAAGTCGTGGCCCACTTCGGTGCTCTTTATCGACAAGCTGCGTCCCTATGTCAAGTCGATGGCGCTTCGTTACGTGCTGGTGGGTCTTAAGCAGAACCACACCCTGCAGCTCTGGGATATTGGGCTGGGCAAGGCTGTGCAGGAGCTCAAGTTCCCCCATGAGAACGAGTCGGACGCCATCTGCAGTGTCGCCTACCACCCGGCATCCGGCATCATTGTCGTCGGACATCCCACCCGGAACTCCATCTATTTCGTCCACCTGTCCGCCCCCAGGTACAACCTGCAGGCTATGTCGCAGGCTTCTTTCATCAAGCGCTCGGGTGAGAAGGATAGCAGCCTGCCCAAGCCGGAGTCTACCGCATGCATGAGCGGCATTCGCGAGATCTCCTTCGCTTCCAAGGGACAGCTGCGCAGCTTGGACCTTCTCCCGGTTACTAAGAGCGCTGGCGACGAGAACGGCTTGTTCGAACTCTACGTTATGCACTCCCGCGGAGTGACGTGCTTGAACATTAAGAAAGAAGACTTGGGATGGACCTCGGACAACAAGATTATTCGCCCTGTCAATGCGTTGGAAGAGGGCCTCATCGACATCGCTGAACTGCAGACCTTCCCCACATATGTAGCAGACGAGCCTTCGGTCAACGGTGATTCTGCCCCTACTCCTACCAAGCCCGCAGTCAAGGAGATCGCCAAGAAGATCACTGAGATGAACACTGAGGCTGCCGCTGCTCCTGCCGCCGCCGGTCCTAGCACTCTGCGTACTCAGTCGCCCACCAAGCTGGTGACAAGAAAGCCTGCCCAAGAACAGCCAGAGCCTGTCACTACTGCTACCAGCACCGACAAGGCTGATAAAAAGAAGAAGAAGAAGAGTGCTGCGACTGCCACCCCAACGGGTGAGCCATCCGTCAAGGGCAAGGAGCCTGCAACTGGAACTGAGCCCATCACTGGTGACTTTGTTGCCTCTATTCAGACTCCTGCGAGTGCTGAACAACCCAACGGCGATGCACAGAAGGCATCTCTTACGCCTACCCCCGTCTCGGCTTCTGCTCCCTCGGCGCCCTCTGGAGCTGGCCTGGTGGCTGTTGACTCTGCGGCTGTTCTGAGTAAGCATCTGGAAGCCTTGCAGAGTGCTGTGTCATCCGAATTCAGCAAGAGCCTTGGCCGTGAGGTAGACGGGCTGTATCAACGCTTCGATGAAGAGCGCCGTAGCTGGGATGCGGCCTCGGCAGCCAAGCAGGATCAAGTCCTGCGTTTGGTCTCTAGCACCCTGTCTGACAATGTGGAGAAGAATCTGGCTCGCATCGTGTCGAGCAACATTCAGACCGAGGTTGTGCCTGCTTTGAGCGACATCACTACCGCTGCTGTCAGTAAGCAACTCAACACCGTTATTTCTCAGCAGATCGGAGGTGTTGTTCCCCGTGAACTGCGCCAGGCCCTCCCTGAAGCCGTCACTCGCGCCGTCCAGCACCCCGATTTGATGAGAGTCTTGTCGGATGCTGTGGGCCAGAAGCTGGCTAGCCAGGTAGAGAACGAGGTCTCCAAGGCTGTTCACAACACCGTTGCCCCGGCTATCCGGAACGTTGCTGCGCAGTCTGCGGAGAAGGTTGCCAGCTCCATGGAGAAGCAGATGCAAGCCCAGGCAAGACAGTTCGAGCTGCAGCGTCAGAATGACGCCGCCAAGATTGACCAGCTCACTTCCCTCGTGCGAGAACTCTCTGAGACTGTTTCTTCCATGGCGACGGCACAGACCCAGCTCCAGGGCGAAGTTTTGCGACTTAATCGTGCCCTGGCCTCCCCGGTGGCCCAGCCGGAACCAGTGCAGCAGCAACAGCAACAGCAGCAGCAGCAGCCGCCGCAGCCTGTCGCGCCCGCGGTTACTGACACGAGAACTCCTGAGCGAGTTGAATTGGAAGAAATTGCTGAACTGATCAACGCGGGTCGGTTCGAAGAGGGTTCAGTCAAGGTGCGTCTTTATTCATGAAAATGTTACGGACTTTGCTAATTGTGATGTAGTGGCTCCAATCCTCCCAGCAGGCCGACCTGTTCGACAACCTGTTTGTGCGCCTGAATCCCTCCTACCTGACCAGTCTTTCGCCTATTGTCAGTCTGTCTGTGGGCGTTGCCGTGACTTCGTCGCTACAGACCAACATCATGCAGCGTTTGACATGGCTGGAAGTGGTCCTGCAAACGGTCAACCCGATGGTATGTTTAATCACCTGATCTTAACGTTTGCATCGGTACTAACAAGACACCAGGACCCGGATATTCGCGAGCTTGTGCCTAGAATCATGGACATCCTCAGCCAACGGCTCGAGGCGCTGTACATGTCTGTTGCCGAAACCTCGCCTCATGACCCCATCATTCGCAAGATTGCGCCTCTGTCGCGCCGTGCCCGGCTTCTGCGGGGATGAATCGGAAAAGAAGAAGTTGCAGAACAAAAATGGTCTACGTCCTGGTCTTTGATGAAATAATGCCTGGATGAGTAAACGCGGAAATGTCTAGCCGCCGCTTGCTTGCATATGAGATGCGAATAGTTGGTTGGTTTTATGGAACCAGTCATTGATCTGATAATATCTTAGCTTAATATTATGAATGACGAGGTTAGCATGATGCTTTTTGTAAATGATATGTAGACGTAGCCTTCTCAAATGCTTTTTAGTATTCATTGGACACGACCTGGTAGTTATACTAACACTACTACACCCACCCACACAACGCCCCTTTCATGACGCCTATACCATATGCATCTATACCCATCCATACCTATACCTACCCACATCATAAAATCAAGCATGAAACGCCACCCCCAACTCAGCATTCCCCCCCTCTGCACTCCCCTGCTCCTCCACAAACTCAAACCCCAACGCCCGCCAATTCAGCTCCTTCCGCCAATGCAACCCATAATACTCCCTTTCCACTGACCCATCACCATCTTCACCCTTCCTCTCAGCAACATCCTCATTCTTATCCTCATCCTCACCCTGACCTTCCTCCACAGGAACAGCCCCAACCACCGGCTCCGACGCCAACCCACCCGAGACCATCCTCCCAGACCGAGGAAACACCACAGCCCGAAAGCGCGAGAGCAACAGACCCATACTGCAGCAGATGCACGGCTCATGGGTCAGATATACGTCTAGATCAGTGCAGAGGTATCCCCCCTGAGAGCGGGGGCGGATGCGCGATGTTGATGTCAATGTTGATGCTTGTATCTCAGTGTGGGTGTGGATAGGCTGTGCGGAGGTTTCTGTAGTCTTTTGGTATTTCTCCGGTGGGGGGATGGGGGTAGATTCTTTTGAGTCAAACTCGCGTTCGGGTTCGGTTGGTTGTGTACTAGCAGCAGCGGTAGTGTCAACGTCTGACTTAGATAGGAAGTATCTCTCCATGTCGGTAAGACAGGGCCGGTTTGTAGCTGATGAGCCTGGGCGGTCTTCGCGACGTTTACTGGCGATGAGGTCCACGGCGCGCATTAGGGCGTGGAGTTCGGGCCCGCCTTCGTGGTCTGGGGAATAGGTTGTTGCAATTTGGTTCGGAGGGTGGGGGGGTTCTGTGTCCGTGGCTGCGCGCGAGTATCGGCCGTCGCCGGCTACTGCCACGACGGCGTCGGACCAGTGAATTCCATCATCGTTGTCATTGTTGTTGTCGGTTGCTGCTTCTGCTTCGAGGTCTGGGTCCACGACGACGGCGCCGACACGGCGGCCTAGACCGGATCGCTCTGCCTCGTCTGCGACCCTTTGCGCTAGAGCGAGGTACCGGCCTGCTTTGGGCTGGATGGAGTCGCGCGCGCGCGCGAGGATGTGTGGTGGCGGGGCGATCATGGCGCGCGGTGCGGCGGGGTTATAGACGACTGGCCACATGCTTTTGGACCATGCGTCGGCTTGGACGGGGGTGAGGGGTGGTTGGAGGGGGATGCGGATGGTGTGGAAGGTGAGGGGGCTGCTGTTCTCCCCTTCAGTAGGGTTTGGGGGCGCGAACGGCGATAGAGCATCTTGGAGGGACTCGATGTCAGGAAGAGGAGGGGAAATGAGTACGAAGATGGTTTGCGCCGGCGAGGATCCCTCGCGCAGGAGAAGGGGACGGAGGTGTTCGGGGATTTGGTTGTGTTTTGCGAAGCGGCGGAGGTGGCTGAGTGGTTGGGAGGAGTCGCGGGGGAAGCGGGAGTCCAGGACTCTGTGTGGTTGGAGAGGGAGGTGTGAGCTGTGAAGGGGTGAGGTGTGTTTGGGAGTGGAGAGCTCACTTGATCACTTTGGAGGCACATTTGACGTTGACTTCCGCGACGTAGGCGTCGGCTGGGGGTTGTTGTTAGATGCGTGTAAGGTCATTGTGGGGTAGTTTGGGCATGGCGCACCGTAGTCTTCGCGGGGACGTGTTTCTTGGACGGTCCGGATTGCGGTGACTTGACCCTCGAGGGGCTTGATGCCGCGAAGAAGCTCCTCGACGTCCATTGAGTTTGGTGGTTGATCTCGCGGGGGAGACGGCTTTTATGGCGGGGTTGCGGGTGGAGGAGGGGCAGGTAAACGATGGGAAGGAAGAAGTGAGGATGGCCGATGTGTCCGGTCACGGCATTCTTTCAATGTGGATACTCAATTTGGCGGAATTAACTGCACCGTATGGGTCGAGATGGGACAGCGGCAAGATGAAGCTGAATAACTTTCTGTCTGGATGCACGGGATTGCAGACCCTGTGCCCTAGGACCTAAGCCCTAGCAGAGAAGATGGATTGGGACTAGAGGAGTAGGATCAGACGTCATGTCATGTTTCTTCACGGGTAAGCAAATACAGCCTGCACTGTCTTTTTCGATGACGCCTAAACCACTCGGGGTAACGGAGCGGGCCCAGCGATGGGTCGAGTGGGTGGAACATTAGTGGGCCAATCGATCCCTCTATCGTCCGAGAAAAGTGAAATATATCATGTATTGTGAATGCTGTACAGGGTGTGTATACGAGTAAAAACCAGACACGACACTAAAACGTAAAAAAATTCAAAAGAAATAAAAACGGGAAAACAGTAAATCAAACAACACCAGCCATAAAGGATATCGATCGCTCCCCGCCATCATAATATGCAGAAACAACATCAACTCCATGTCCGTGTATGTGTGATATGTACTGGTACAAACACGTCGTCTTCCCACAAACTCTCCAGATAGTAGTAGTAATCCATAGCTTGCGCCATCCAAGCCCAGAAATATATGCAATCGATCTAAATCTTCATGCGTGGCTCGCAAGCACCTCAAATGTCGACGTCGGAGAAAAGAAAAGGATCAACTGTCACGTCCGATCGCATACCCATCACATCGCTCGACCAAGCTCTTGTAGTAGTCTACAAGCACTTCGGGTTCGGGCACGATGCGCCACTCTACGCGGAACAGGAACTCCAACTCAAGCAGAGCTAGCTCGGTCATGGTGATACCACCCACCCGAGCGTAGGTTTTGTTGGTCCAAAAGCTGTCGCTTAGACCCTTGCTAGCTACCGTGGCGCTCGCAATGAGGAACCGATGGATCGTCAGACTGGAAACGGTGAAGGCGGGGTATAGAGCACAGAGCCGATCAATGTAGTACACCATGCTCAGAAGGATCGGAGGGGACAGCGTAGCATGGGTGGTGAGTCGCTGGAGGTAGTCATGCACCGAAATTCGCGGCGGCGACCGCGAGTGGAAGCGAGTCAAGCGACCTTGATTCAGAGGGATCTTGTCGTTGAACCGGATCAGCTCCATCAACATGCTCGAGATCAACACAACAATATCCCGGGGATCCGCCAGCTCGTACCGCTCCGGCAGCAACTTGACTGCCGGAACGTCCGGTCGCATTCGTTTCGTCTGAGAGCCCTCGAGGTCAGCGTGAGCTAGACCCGCCGCTCGCTCACCACCGACCGGAGGGTCGTTCGGGCTGTTACGTTTGTTGGACCCGGAGCCAGCGCTGTTGGGGACCGGCATTGGGGGAGTCGACGTAGATTGGGCACCTGAGGCGGGAACGGAGGCTGCAGGTACGGCCGGGACAGACACGTTATTGGCAGGACGATCCTGAGCAGGGCGCATGGGATTGGAGGCGGGAATGGCGGCGTCAGCAGGCGGATGAGACGTGGTGCTACTTCCGCCCCCAGAGGAGGTCAGCCCGGCGGACATGCGACCGCGAGGGATATCCCCTGAGGGCCCGGGAGGGGATGAGCCAACGGTATGCCGGTTTAGGGCCGATCGAAGTTCTTCGATGGCCACCCGAGAGGATTGCGGGTCGAAACGAGAGTTGGAAGATGCAGCTGCAGAAGAAGCGTGCCCGGCGGGCTCATAATGCTGACGCGCAGGCTGTCGTGGATATGAAGAGTAGGAAGAAGAAGAAGAAGGTTGGGAGTGAGGGGACGGATGAGGTTGCGACTGAGAATGGGGAAGGGGATGAGAATGGGAATGATGAGTGGTAGTGGTGGAAGGGGAGGGGGATGGTCGCAGGGCGGCGGACGGAGAGGGCGACGAAACTAGCATTTCCGCCCAACGAGGCCACCACGTGGGCGCACGACTGAACGACGTGCAACGGAGCTGGCAGACGCTGCGAAACCTTGTGCTGCTGCGAGGGGTGAAGGTGGCGTGCACAGACGCATCGTGATCTGCGGGGGAGAGAAAGGGAGAGGAGCGAAAATATTCAGCTCTTCAAGGGATGGAAGGAGGCTGAAAGGCGGGGAGAGAGAGAGGAAGAGAAGAGGGAAAAGGGAGAGGAGAAGGGAAAGAAAGTGGAGGAGGTTTGAGATCAGAAGAGGTAAAAAAAGTACTAGTAGAGAGCAAGGAACTCCGACGAGCGAGAAATCATATACTAACAATGACGCCGATCCAGCAGAGAGAGGGGGGTTTTCATTGGGAAAATTTCTCTTCAAACCGGCCCGTGTAAGTTTGACAGTAACTAAAAGTGAGTAAAGTCAGTATGGGGCAGTACGAGGACGGTTTGATACGCAGGGAACAAAGCAGGGAATCCCGCCCTGCGTGGCCCCATTCACCAATAGGAGTCGCCGCTGGTCGGTCTAATCTCGGTTTAGTGTCTGCCGTATTATGACTACCCTGTTTTTGACGCATCTCGGCAAAAGATCCAAATTACTACTTTGTACTTCGGACTCGCTCTTTTGCTGGTTCGTATTAGGAGATAGATACTCCATTGGGTACAGTGCAGCCATGAATTGGGAAGGCGGAGTCTTTTTGACACTCCCCGGAAGATCTTATATGACATATATGGAGCACTGCGTAGAGCTACCCAGAAGTGCCTGCTCTGTATTTTACTACAGTGTGTGTGTATACTACTACTAGTAGTCCCGTATAGATAGTAACTTGGCGTCAGGTGATGGTGACACAGACCTATCAAACTATCGGTTCAGGGGAGCAAACGAGGCGAGGAGCTGCATCCCTTTTGGTCTATAGGCCAAGAAGCTTCTCTCCTGTCCTTCCGAGTTTCAGGGAGATCCTTTTTCTACATTCATCTGCCGGTCAGTTGTTAAGATCATGCGATACTGCGTATTAATCTATCCCCATCGCCCGCACCTCGGTTCACTACTAGTAACAACTACTCCAACTCCTCTCCAACTCCGCGAGAAACCCCCAAACAGCAGCTTCTACTTAGTGACACCATTGCTTTCCTTCTTCCCCATTATTGAAAGCCATAGTTCATCATGCATATCTCCTTACGGTTCATAATTGATTGCATCCCTTGTTCGGCAGTCGGGGCACGACCCCAATACCATGGGATACATGGGTTACTACAGTAGTAGTACTACCTCTTGAGACTTGAGGCTGCCCCCAATACTGATAGGGCTGAATCACATGATGGCCCTGCTGTGTCCGGCGATATATGACTCAGCACTGTCAGCTTACTACGCAACCGCAACCATCAGGTGACATCACCTGACGGCTCCGGCCGAAAGCGGTAAGAGGCAATGGCTCCCCCGGGCAGCAGGACCAAAGTATCACCACTAAGTCAACGTCCAGAAGCTCCCCCCAATCTCCCCCAGTCCAGCTCAAACCCCAGATCCCTTGGTCGCGGATCTCGTTTCTATCTATTATCACTCTGCTTCATTCCGTACATAGCCTGTACTGTTTGTTATTACTCTGTCATATTTGCTAGACCTTCTCGGAATCTCATTTCCTTTCCTTGTGGTACTAATCTGGTACTTTCACCACTCATTCCTTTTGCAACGCCATTACAATTCACAATTGCTTAACCATCGCCTCCGGCCAGCTGGCGATACGCACGCAACCTTCCCTCTAGTCAAACACATCCTCGAATCTTTTATCCTCCCTATCCCCCCATACATTGGCCTATTTATTCTCTCTTTTATTCCATACCGACAATTTCCACGCGACCAGCTTGACCCTCTTAATTCTCCGACGTAATCCATTCAAGATCCCTCCCGCGGGAGGCGGCGATTGCGCACTATGACTCGCGCCTCGGCCCCTCCACTCCTACTACAACTACAGAATGCAGAAACGTTGTCTGCCCAGGCAGCTGCCCTACGAAGCCTGAAGAACGAGACAATTGGTCATGACCAGCGCAAAGAGTCCTGGGTTCGGTGGGGGATTCTTCCCGTGTTAGCCAATATCCTGGCCGCCCGGCAGTCTCCCGGAAAAGGCACAGCTTCCGCGGAGCTCAATGGGGGATCCAAGCTCCGCTATCCTACATCGGAGGAAGATGAAGCTTGCCTTCAAGCAGTCATTATTTTGGGGAGTTTAGCACAAGGTATATAAACTCACGCTCTGGTCAATCGGGTACTTTACACGTACTCTTATCTCGGCACGGGAACTGATGATCGAGCAGGCGGTGCGGCCTTCCTTTCCCCCATTTTCGCCAGCGGTGTTCTCCCGGCCCTTCTGTCCATCCTCTCTGCGCCGGGGTGTCCCTCATTCTTCGTTCTGCCGATTCTCCGAACCCTCAATAACGTGGCGGATCGACTGCCGCTCCAGAGTCAACAGCTATCGAGCAAGGACACCCGCTTGGCCGATCTGCTCTTCTCCAATGATCACATTGGCTGCTTAGCCCGTATCCTCGGCCAGGAGTATGAAAGCCATCACGATCAAGCCGCCATTGAACTTACTGCATCTCTGGTTGGTAAATTATGCACGGAGGAAATTCATAAGGCCATCCTGGCGGAGTGCGGGGTTTTAGACGCCTTGGCCGTGAAGGTGGCTTCTTTCATCGTTGCCCAGGGCTTCGTGCTCCCCGGTGCGGAAGCACATGTGCAGGATACAGGTGCTCTCGGTTCTCTGCCAGCCCCTGCACCAGCAGGAGCTAAACTGGCACCAATTCTTCGCGCCGTTACGGTCATAATCGAGCATTCCAAGTGGCGCGCAGAGCACTTTCTCTCATCGCCCGGTATACTTACTGTGTTTCCCAGGCAGCTCCCCGAGTTTGCTCCCACAGACATCAAGAAGGGACCATGGGGCTCAACTTACTTTTCTGGTTCCGCCGTTCCCCGCCATGCAGGCGCAAGTCCCTTGGAGCACCTTTTGCCATCGGTTCCTTTGTCGCAGAGCAAGTCACCGGCGAACACTCCCAACTTTCCGCCTTTAGGCCATCAGGGTACCACGCACCGCCGACACAGCCAATCGTATTCTACGCCGATGTCCGCTTACGATCCTCCAACCTCTGAAGACGAGGAAAATCCCATTATTCCATGGCTCCTGTATATTGTCCGTGCGGAAGGTGGTATGGTTCGATTGATGGCGGCTCGTCTTGTGACCGTACTTTTTCGCTTGGGGCTAACTAAGAAGCGTCGGGTCTCGATGCTGTGCTACCTGCTAATACCGATCTTGATTCGGATGCTTGATAAGGACTACGAAATGAACGGCGATGATGGAGTACAATACGGGGGCTTGATCCCTTCAACCGAACGTCTTCGTGAAGAGGCCCCGTTTGTGCTGGCTACCCTAGTGATCGATGATTTCGAGCTGCAAAGGCATGCAGTCGATGGCAATGCCATCAAACGACTCTCTCAACTGCTCAAAGAAACATACAACCCAGTCCAGGATGTCACTCGTCCCATGTGGCATGCCGATGCTGAAGAAAATATCGATAGTCCCCCGGACACATTGCCCGCAGAGTGCCGCCTGGGTTCCCTGGGCTTCTCTCCTGTTCACTGCCATATCATGCGATACCGGGAGAATATTCTCAAGGCTCTAGCAGCTCTAGTCCCTTTCAAGGACGAGTATCGCAAGGCTGTCTGTGAGAACGGCGTGGTACCGTACATTATCGACTCACTGAAGCCGTGTTCGGACGACCAATCGGCGGACCCGTCAGGTCCTAAGAATACCGCTTCGCATGGCAACCCGACTTCAACCCTATTAGCTGCTTGCGGTGCCGCGCGGATGCTGACGCGCTCTGTCAGTGTTCTGAGGACGAGTATGATCGATGCCGGGGTGGCGACGCCTCTCTTTGTCTTGATTAAGCACCCCAATATTGAGGTGCAAATCGCTGCGACACAGGTGATATGTAACTTAGCCTTGGATTTCAGTCCAATGAAAGAAGTAGGTTTCTGCCATCCTTCTGCCACATGAGAGAATGCGCTAACAGGTCTAGGCGATCATTACCGCCGACGTTCTCCCCACCCTTTGTGAGCACGCACACTCTCCGAACACCAAGCTTCGCATTGAGTCGCTATGGGCGTTGAAGCATGTAGCATATAATTCCACCAACGACGTCAAGGTGAGAATTATTGATGGCCTGAGCCCCGCCTATATCCGGCAGATTATCACCCAAGATCCGACCAACGCATTGGCCAAACGAGGAATGGATGAGGAGATGGACAACGGTTCCAACGTGGGGATGGGCCGAGCCAACTCAGCAGGGGAGCAGGTAGACCTACTCAACCCGGTTGATAACGCTGCTGGGCAAGATGAGGACATGAAGATGGCAGACACAATGCCCCCGTCCAAGATGAGCCTGGATATGTTCCTTCCGGATGCCACGAGACGGCGCAAGTTGGCATTGCACGGTAATCTCGACCAGACAACCCAGGCCCGGCAGGATGATATTGCAGTACAAGAACAGACCTTCGACCTGTTGCGCAATATCATCTGCGGGCCAGGCGCAGCCGAAATGATTGATCATTTGTTCAAGGTGATAGGACAAGACTTGATTTTGGATGCGTTGGCGGATAAGCTCCGGCCCCGGTCGATCCAACTTCCCCACCGGGGGGAGTCGTCAGCGCACCGGCCTTTGAGTGTTCCTACAGAAATTCTGGTGTCAGTTACCTTTGTCATGATCCATCTCGCTGCGGGCCTTCCGTGGCACCGCCAGCTTCTGGTGTCACATCGGGACTTGCTACGCTACTTAATGGGGTATTTCAATCATACCCATCGTGAAGTCCGCACCAATTGTGTGTGGGTGGTGATTAACCTTACATACAAGGATGATGCGAGTGAGGAGGAAGGGTGTCGAGAACGGGCGTTCCGGCTGCGAGCGATGGGAGTCATGGATCGGCTGTCCAGTCTTGGGGATGATCCCGATCTGGACGTGCGGGAACGCACACGGACGGCCCAGGATCTGGTCAATCACTTGACGCACACATAGTGAAGAAAAAAAAGATTATTCATGTTAGGCTAGCCATGCATTCGGGTGCCTGGATTCTGCGGACTATTTGGACTGGATAAGTGGAAACCCAGACAATCTGGGAGGCGTTCGAGGGGTCGTTGTGTACAAAGCGTTGGTTTACTCACGTAGACGGTGCTTGACCTGCACCAGGAGACTCATCCATTCCTACCGTGTGAATTCTGCTCGTGGCGCTTTGGGCCCTCTTCTTTCCTATGACATTTTATCCTCCCATCATCCACAGTGAAAATGAGCAATCCTCAACCTCAGGCATCCACAGCGGGTTATCTTATCGATAAGATAAGGTCCCCAGCGACGTCATCGGAAGGCCTGCCGCTGAAATCGTTTCCGGCCAATCTTCGCTGCTGTTTGTTTTCGTCCTGGTTTCCCCTTCTTTTCCGTGGTCCCCCTCTTTGTTCTCCTCTCTGTTCCTGACTTTGACCCTTGTTCCATCTTCAGTCGCGTGTGTGTTGATTGAGACGATGGCCCCCGTGCCTGCCACGCTGCTGCGTGCCCTCTCCATCCCTGACCCCGCCAAAGCCAGCCTGTCCACCGCCGGTCTGGGGTCGGGCTTCACAAACACTGGTGCAATACGAGCCACAGTTCCCCGCTCCGATGGCTCAGGGGAGGAGGAACGTCGCTACTTTGTCAAGACCTCTCCGAATGGAGAGGCTGCAGAGGAGATGTTCCGTGGGGAGTACGAATCACTCAATGCGATCGCGACGTCCGTGCCCGGTTTCTGTCCCCGAGCACTCGCCTGGGGCCCGCTGGAGGAAAGCGCTGGGACAAGCTTCTTCCTAGCGACTGAGTTTTTGGAATTAGGAGGAGGTGGCCGTCGAGGTCGAGGAGATACATTAGCCCAGCGATTAGGCAAATTACATTCGACGCCAGCGCCCCCCGACCCTGCAACGGGACGACGTCGATTCGGATTCCCTGTTCCGACCTTCTGCGGGGACACCAAGCAGCCCAACCGCTTCTGCGACTCGTGGGCGGACTTCTATGCCAATGAACGGCTGCTCACCATCCTCGAGTCATCGGAAACGCGGAATGGTCGTGATGCTGGCTTGCGGGATCTGGTGGAGCGGACGGCGCGGACAGTGGTCCCTGCGTTGCTGCGGGACGGACACTTAGGCTACGAGAGGGACGGGAATGGACAGGGCATTATACCTGTCGTTGTCCATGGGGATTTGTGGAGTGGGAATGCAGATCGCGGTCATATTGTAGGTAGCGGTCGCAAGGATGACGAGGAGGTCGGCGATGTGGTCTACGATCCGTCGGCATGCTACGCACACAGCGAGTATGAATTGGGGATAATGAGAATGTTTGGCGGCTTTGGATCGGCTTTCTTCACAGCTTATCACAAGATAGTACCGAAAACCGAGCCAGTGGAGGAATATGAGGACCGCGTGCGATTGTACGAGCTGTGAGTTGTCCTCCTGGCTTTCGGTTTAGAACCGCGAGAAAGAAGCTAACCAAACACAGATACCATCATCTGAACCACCATGCGATCTTTGGAGCCGGATACCGATCGGGCGCTGTATCTATTATGCAGAAGTTGCTGAGGAAATATGGAGATTAATGTTTGACCCGGACAGAGTAGCTGCTATTGAGCTCGTTTCTAGAATGCCTTGAGATGCCATCTACGTTGATTGTTCTCTGCTCGTTGAAGGCGACATTCATGCTGGTATCACAATTGAGCTATTCGCTATTCCAATCTTTAGTAGATTACCATTATCAACTACTTCACTATAAGCATATCTGTCCCTTACCGCATGCGGGGTTGTGATGCCATCAATTAATAAGCCCATGACACCATCCCTTGAGTATAAATAAACAGCCCCTGCCGCCCACCGGATCATCCCATCGTCAATTCCACATCCATCTCACAATGCCCGTCCCCGACGCAGACGTTCACCCCGAAGCTACCGGTGCAGCTAAAGCACTAGTCGACCGACACCAAGCCGAGCAGCCATTGAAGCTGTATGCCGGCTGGTTCTGTCCGTAAGTCCCCCCACCAAAGTACACCATTTCGGGACTTTACTAATACCTTCGCAGCTTCGGTATACCTCTCAACCCTCATCATACCTTCTCACTATCGCATTCGTAATCAACTAATCAATTTTCAGTCCAACGTGTTTGGCTTGTCCTCGAAGAAAAGCAAATTCCCTACCAGTACATTGAGATAAACCCCTACCACAAGGAACCCTCCTTCCTCGCCCTCAACCCACGAGGCCTCGTCCCCACCATCTCCGTGCCCGACCCCTCAACCAACACCTCCAAACCTCTCTATGAATCCACCGTCATCCTCGAATACCTCGAAGAAGCATACCCAAACCACCGGCCCCTGCTCCCCTCGGACCCCTACCAGCGCGCACGTTCCCGTATCTGGATTGACTACGTCACCTCGCGCATCATTCCCACCCTGCATCGCTTCCTCCAGTACCAGCCCTCGACGCGCGGAATTGAGGGTCTGAACCAAGCCCGTCAGGAGTTTCTCTCCACCTTGAAGGAATGGGCTAAGGAGATCGACTCCACGGGCCCGTATTTCTGGGGCTCGGAGGTGTCGCTCCCGGATCTGGTGCTCGCGCCGTGGGCGTTCCGGCTTTGGGTGTTTGATGAGTTCAAGGGCGGTTTAGGGATTCCGAAGCCTGGGGAGGGAGGGGAGGATGAAGAGGCTTGGGGAAAGTGGAGGAAGTGGTTGGAGGCTGTGGAGGGACGGAGGAGTTCGAAGGAGACGACGAGTGAGGCGGTCCATTATCTGCCCATCTATAAAAGGTATGCGGATGATAAGGCGCAGAGTTGGTTGGCGAGGGCAACGAGAGAGGGGAAGGGGGTTCCATGATTGATGATCAATGATTCGATGAGTATATGAGATGATAGATCCATACTATGTTGTGCTATTGAACTCAGTATAGTCTCAACAACCTACATACAGACTACATAGTCTGCTACTACTCATGTGAGCTTCTAGAGGGAATTACTAGAGGTATTCCGGGTACTCAGTTGGTCTAGGCTACATCCGACAAGGAAATCAATTAGTTCTATCAAATCTCCTTCAGACATGGATCCCAAATTAGCCTGCGCTAGCCATACAGTATTAGTTTGAAGCAAATAGGATTGGTATTGATAGTAGGCAGAGATACTTCAATACCACTCCTAGGCGAACAGAAAAGCTAAGTGTGGGTCACTAAACTAGAAGCTCCAGATTGTAACCATCGCTAGTAATTAGTACCCACCACTGATATCTGCTAGATTGAGAGCAATTTGTTTGAATTACAATAATGTCGAGATGTTCACTGTTATGCAACTACACCGGTTAGTCATCATACCATACCGAATCTCGTAATGTATGTATTGTAATTCATCTTTGAAAATGCGCCCGTCACATGACTAGCCGGCCAATGGCCGTCGTCGGCTCCATCAGCATCAAGAAGCATCCCATCAATTCCATCCCAACCAGAGCTTCCCTGTCCAGCCATCGCTCATATATCAATATCCCCAGCATGGCTCCCGACAAGAAGGATGAAGCATCCTCCCCGGATGCTGCCATTCCCGACCCGCCGCCCATCCACCCGTCCTTCATCCAGGTAGCCAAGCCGTACATCTTCGAGCAGACCATTCAGCGATGTATTGCCGCGATGGGAGTCAATCCACTGCGCGAAGAATCCCTTCGCTTGCAAGGCGTGACCTGGATCGACAATGTCCGCCGCGTACTCTACCTGTAGGTGCTCATGCACCCGGATTCTCCACTGTCCCCAAAGCTCAAAATAGCTAACCAGGTAGTTAGCCCGATCCGCACTTTCAACACGGCTGTGGTGTACTACCACAAGTTCCGACTCGTTCATCCTGACAACGAGTATAATTATATGGTACATCCCATTCATGTCCGATGTTGTATCACTGAACGTATTGTTGACTTTGATCCAGGACGCCGCTGCAGCTGCGCTCTTCACTGCCTGCAAGATCGAGGACACGTTGAAGCGGTCCCGGGAGATTGTTTGCGCTGCATACAATCTCAAGCTGCCGCCGCAGGAGCATATGGCTCCTGATAATCCGGTATGCTGGGTAAATTTGACCTCTCTCATAAGGTGCATGCTAATAAAGGCAGGTCTTCGAAGCACACGCCAGGGGCATCATCGGCCTGGAGAGACTGATGCTAGAGGCATCCGGCTTCGACTTCCGGACCCGTCATCCGCAAAAGACTCTTATCAAGCTCGCCCGACAGTATGGACTGACGTCGCAATCGGAGGTCTCCAACCTGGCGTATCGCATTTCGCAGGACCTTTATCGCACGTACGCGCCCATCAAGCAAACGACCTCCACCATGGCCTTCACCTGTTTGGAATTGGCGGGGCGGTTACTTGACCAGCGAATTGAGGCCGTGGAGCAAGGCGTTGACTATGCGAACTGGAAGACGAGTCGCGAGGAAGTAATGGGTGAGACTGAACAGCCTTACACCGTCCCCTGCACTGAAGCTCAAGGCTAACCCAATTCAAAGAAACCCTCTTCGACCTCCTAGAACTGTACACCCACAACCGCGGACACACCACCGTCGGTCCCCATTTCCCAGCGGATCGCTTCCTCACCGTCCGCATTCCACTAAACAATGAAGCCGAGTCTCAGAAACTTCCCCGGTACACGAACTGGGTTCCGGAACCTCGCGAGAGCAAGGCCACGAACGGCGACAAAGCGACCAAGGACGCCACCGCTAAACTGCACCCCCTCACTCCTGTTGCCGCTAATGGCGACCGTCCCAGGGCGACTGAGAAGGGCCGCGACGGCGCCGTGCGCTTCATGCTGGATCCGGAGTGTGCTGATGCCGAGAAATCCCACGTAGCCGCGTACTTTAAAGTCGAGATGGAAGAGTACGAGGTTGAGGAGTGAATTGGTTCAGACACACACTCTCTCGATTTTTCATATATCAGATGATGAATATTGGGTTGCGTTCCAGCTGCAAGGAACGTACATCGCTCTGCATGTGTTACTAACGCAATACATCCTGCATAGAGGCCCGTCTCGTGTGAGCAGGCGGGGTGAATCACCGAGCATGGTCGTTACCCAACGGATCTCACCCAGGAGAGCGAGCACACCCGCGCTCTGCTCAGTCGTTGATCGAGTGATGGATGGCCCTCGGACAGATATCTTCAAGCGACAAGGCCGGAATGTGACTCTTAATGAGCGAGCCCACTGGTGGGTACTCGTGCGCCGTGTGCCGACTTATTGAGTACGGGAGACACCCAGACAGGCCATCAAGTTCCTGGTTGATCCGTGGGGTTCAATTGGAATTGATGACGGAGGGTCACGAGGAGGATGGAACCAGTCCATGAGAATATGACCGCACATATATAGAAGTGCCTCAATAACATAACACATCGCATAGATAAAAGACAGTGAGGAATATACTGGATGCAATGTATATTACTATCTATCTATACGGTCAAACTTCTATTGTTATATGTAGTGCAAGTGCAGTCTGAGTAGCTGAGACGTGCGTATCAGTAGCTAGTTAAGCTGATCAGCAGGCGGGTAAATGTTGAGATTATAACTTAGATATAACATGACGGTGACACAGTACGAGCTGAGGTTGTCGTTGACGCAATTTCCTGTGTTATGTCTTGTTTCTTACACTATTACTTCATTTCTTATCACAAAACAAGAGCATATCAGGAGAAGAATACAGCAATCGGAAAGGACTTAAACGAAGAGAGAGAGAGATGGAGGACAGGAATAAAGAAGATAAGATGACTGTAACTACCATAGTATGTGTCATGCCATGTCAAAGTCATGTTGCAGGGTTCGGTATTTCGTATCCGCGCTTCCCTGCTGCATTCCAACCCTCACCCTCCATTGTTCTCACCTATGCCTGATTCCTGCTTCCCCCCTTTATCGCCCTTTTGAGAAAAAACAATGTATACACCAATGAACAACAACCCCCAATGCAAGAGCAAGGAATAGTTAATATAAGTAGCGAAAGCGTGACAAATACATGCATGCATGCAGGGTGCTGCACATTTCCAAAAGAAAGAGCCTCCCGGTGCTGTCCTCACGAGTGAGCCCGGGAGGCTAGAAGACGTGATTAGAAAGGTGTATAGATGGGACATAGCTCATTTTTTTTTACCCTCAACAGCAACTATAGAGAGAGAAAGAGAAGGATAGGATTTTCGTCACGGAGATCCGTCGGATCAAGGGTGGGTCGATTCATCATACCTCCACTTTAACGGCGGAGCTCGGTGTTGATACAATCAAGGATCTGCAAGTAGGGGAAATGAGTTAGTTATGATTCAAAACGCAGGCCGGGTATAAGGCTGGCTTACTGTTTCAGAGACAGTACCCTGGTTGTACAGGTACTTGCTCAGGCCCCGGACGACCTCGAGCTGCTCCTCGACCGTCAGGCCGTTGATGGCAGCTTCAATTACATCTCCGACGCTCGCCTTGAACACCGCGATGAAGCTGTGGTAGTACATGTACGAGAAGAAGCCCATGATGAACTGGCAGTCCATGCGGTCAGTAATGCCACCGTGACCCGGGATCGACTCGCCGAAGTCCTTGATCTTGAAGGTACGCTTAAGACCAGAGGCGAAGAAGCCGCCAAAGGGAGCAATGAGGGAAGCGAAGGTGGCGAAAATCAGAATGTGGAACTGGATGGGCTCGATATGGAAGGTCTTGTGCATGCCGGTCCACTCCGGGACATGGTAAGGCTGAGGCACGAAGGCCGGGTTGGGCGAGCATTGAAGACCCGTCAAGACGTTGGCACCCAGATCATTGACGGGGCAGATGAAGTACTTGTAGCGCATCAGGATGTTGGTCATGAAGTAGCCGAAGATGATGGTGCATATCCACGCGCCAAGGAAGCCTTCGACTGTCTTCTTGGGGGACAGTTGGATAAGCTGAGTGCGACCAAAGGTGATACCACAGACGTAGGCAAAGATATCGTTCGTGATGACGAGAGAGGCGGGAAGGAAGAACCAGATCATGCCCTCGAGGATGTTGTTCATGACAAAGTGGGCCTGGACGACGATCAGGTAGAGCGCCATATGCGTCCACGCGAACTGGGTGAACTGGAACCGGTACTGTCCTTTCTGCAGGGACGCGACGAAGAAGACGAAGCCTAGGAGTACCTGTCAGCAAGACAATAGGCGAGAATGTACGCGGGAAGTAATAAACTGACCCATAACATAAAGAGTGAAGCTAATGAAGCGGTGGTGAGTAGCCAGAGGCAGCAGCACCCGGTCCACCAGAAGCACATGCTTGAAGTAGTAGATGACGCTCTCTCCGTATAAGAAGTACATGGTTGTAGCCAGGAAGTACCAATTCAGCGACTTGGTGAAGCGAAGGTTTTTCTCCTTACTGGGCACGTTGGCAATGGCGATAACCTCCTTGAACGAGATGATCTGGACCGCGGTAACGATGCCGATGATGTAAATGTGGCCGGAAAACATGGCCACGAAGAAGCCGAAAATCATCACAAAGGTCCATATCGTACGTGTAATAAAGGTCTGTTTCTTCTTTTCGTAATCGGACAACTGGGGTTTCTCGGATTTCTGGATGTCATGTCAGCTTTTGTCTAACAGGTTTTAAACAGCTTCACGGGGGGTTCCGGGAAGCTCGCAGTAGCTCTCTCACCTCCTCGGGAATAGTGGCAGGCGCGGTGACGCTGCCATCTTTGGCCGGGCTACCGGGGTCGGAGAGGACATCGCTGGCATCTGAGATGCTCAAGCGGCGACCTTCAGAGGAGTTGGACATCCGACGTGGGAACCTAACGTTCCGACGCGATTTGGACATGACGGAAAGTTATGTACAGGGGAGCAGGGGAGAGCGACGGAGCACGGCGGCTTCTCGAGTCGTATGGCTGCGGGGAGAGTAATCAAGCTCGGAATTTGACCGACCAGGCGAGACGCGCGAGAGCAGGAGACAATCGAGTTTGATTAGGGAAATAAAAAAAAAAAGGGAGACGAGACGGAGCAGGCGAAGGAGCAATGATCGTCGTCTAGCGAGAATTCATGTGAAATAATAGCGACCGGGGGAACAGCGGGATGGAGCACGAGCGGTGGGCAACTAAAGTTAAGTAGTAGATCAGATCCCAGGAGGAGAAAAGAGTTGAGGGTCTTGGAGACTATGCGAACTGCTGTGGATCCGGGTCAATTTAGGATGTCACCAAGGGAGAAATTCGACGGTGGGAAAGGTGCGGGTTGGTCGGAGTGAGAAGGAGAGAGAGAAGTTGTTGAAGAGGGAAGAGAATGAGATCCCGTGAGGCAGCAACTGGCAAGCAACAAACCAACTTTGAGAGTCCATCTGGATTTCTCTCTCTCCCAACACGACGTCAACTTTTCCGCATCCCGCATTTCTTTCTTTCCTTCCTTCCTTCCACTTTCATTTACTCAACATTCATCTTCCCCCCAATAACTCAACCAACTAGCGCTTTCCTTTTTTCAATCAATCTCCACCCTCTCCGTTCATGGCGATCGTCCATTCCAGGGCATGGAAGATAACGATGATGATTTCTTCTCCGATGATGGCTTCGACGACATCCCTCCCGGTACCTTGTTCCAATTGGAGCAGAACGCTTATCGCGCAACTCAGGCCCCAAAACCTGCCCAACCACAACACTCGGTCTCTGACGTAAAGAGATCGTCGCGACCCTTTTCTGATCAGAACCGTGGGGCATTTTCTGATAATGCATTCGTCTCCAACGCTTCCTTACAACCTCCTCCTGCCTTGCATACCGGGTTGAGTAACGAATATGATGTGTGGGATATAGGGGAGCTGGATGCCGAGGTTCTGGACAATGGGGTCCCAATTCAGTCAAATGCTGCACTGGATCAGGCGGCGACTTTTGCTACAGCTCAGCATCAGCCAAATGCTGCTGCTGCTGCTGCTGCGACGGCCGTGGCAGAGGATGACTATGGCGATCTACTGGACCCCATGGAGGTCGAAGAAGATGGCGCCTCTCATTTCCAAGACCTACACAGAGCTTATGCCGAGCTTAGTGAAAAGGTAGTTGTGCAAACCAACCATCCTTGAGTTTACGTGACCTAATCATCTCGATAGCTAGCTTTAGAGAGCGCGCGACAAAAGCAAATGGCCGAGGAGCTGGCTGCAGCCAAATCAATGGCTGCAACGAAAGCCGGCGAGATCTCCATCATCCGGGCCAACCAGGCCAAAATCATCGCCGATTATGACCGCCAACTGACAGCTCTGCGAAAGGCAATGGCGGACGAGATAGCGAAACATGAGGAGGAGGTTGCGGCGGCTCGTGCGGAGGGCAAGATGTTCGCCACGGAAAACGCCTTTTTGAGGCAAGATTTAGCAGAGGAGGCCATGCGCGCCAATCAGCTCAAGGCAAAAGGTCGAGCAGAGGAAAAGGCACCACCGGTGACTCCAAAGAAGGCGAAGGTGCTACCATTCCGCGACGGCTTCGACGATGATGAAATTCTCGCCGTTTCTCCCAGCAAGTCAGCACGTTCCCGGCGAACCACACCACTCGTACCGGGAAAAAGGAAAAGAAAGCACAGCCAGGATACTACGACACCCTTGCAGTTAAGTCCGCAAGTGGAGCCAGTGGCAGCTGATTTGGCCGCAGATCTGTCGGACGATGCAATGCTAGATGCTGTGCCGGATAAAGCTCAGATAGGCGCGGCACCTAACATGGTGGACCCCAGCATTATAAAACGCCTCATGAACCACAGAACACGCCCGGATGAGAAGCCTGATATCGAGGTTATGGCTGGATTGGCATTCCCGTCAGAGCCACAGCGCATGCTTTCCACCATTCTTTTAGAGGAGACTGAGAAGCTGAACCTCGGGAACTATATGGTAGAGTACGCGCGGGCGATCATATCGTTGTGGTCGCGTGCGTTGACAGAAAAGTTCTTTCAGCCTATCCCGATGTTCATTTCCATCATGCACTACCTCATATTGGAAGACCTACAAGCATTCGATCCCGACTTGTACGCACACCTAGTGCCGGTTCTGCAAGTATCCGCGGAAGTCAACGCAATTCCCCGGTTCAAGGCCTCGCCCGTCTCCCGACAAAACCTAGGCCAGGCGCGGAAGACTCCCTTATCCGAACTGGAACCGCTGGTTGATTCGACCAATGTTCTTGGCCTGCTGTATGACATGGCATGCATTCGGATGCACGTAGGACAGGATGTGATTGAGCTGTGGCGACATGTGCGCTACGACTTTGTGCTGACAATGCTGAACTGCTCGCAGCGCATTGACGACATAACACTGATGCTAAGCTTACTTTCAGCCAGCATCCGCGCTGATTCATTCGGTCCCGTCCAAGATACCGAGCAATTTCAGCTCACCATTGAGAACTACATCGTGGATCGCGTCGCCAACCTGCTAAGCGAACCACCGCTGCTCGACGAGGGACAGGAGCCGTACAGTCCAGATGAGGTCTGCGGCATGCGGCAAGAAGCATTAGCCTTCCTTACCAGCGTCGCTTTCAATCCCCGTATACCGGACAGCACGCACGGCAGCATGGTCATCGCATCCCATCCCACCGCACTGGCGCGATTAATCCGGGTGATGCATGATGAGCTGGAAGCTCTTTATACACAACCACCGGAGAAGGACCTCCACGCGGCCTTGGTCAACGGGCTCATGTGCCTCGTCTATAGCGTTATACAGCGTCATCGCGAACAGGCAGATCTGCAGCCCAAGTTGTCCCGCGTTCCTGGCGGGAAGCAAAAATTCCTGGTGGTCATGACACGATTAGCGTTCAGCGAAGGCTTAGTGCTAGAAGCTGGGATTGATGACGACACTGTTGAAATGGCCCATGATATCCTCGATGATGCCGTAACGCCGCAGGAAGCTGAGGCGCTAGAGGAGGCATTTCCGAGTGCCAAGCGGGAGGATTAAGCTGCTGCCTGTAGCTGAGGCAGATTCAATCTGCTGATTGATGAGTGTTCACCGATAATTTATGGTGCTTGAACGTGGAAGGGTGGGTGTTCGAATATTTATACAACGATACCAACGATACCAGAGTAATGATATACGATATAATATGATAATGCAAATTGTGCAGTCTGTTGACTCTTTAATTCAGCAACTATTTTACTATTCACAAACATCTAAGCATCCCACCGAATTGTACTTCTTTCTCAGTGCCAGGCCTTTCACCGCGCATACTAGTAGTAAATAGTGGGTGCTAAATCAAATCCAGATATGCGTCTAAACTACACGACAAAGACAAGAAAATCGTGACGGTCACTTTGGAGAAGATCTTGTATTGCTGGTTGGTTGGTTTTCGAGATGCTTGTGGAGGCTTGAGTGAGGGTGTAGAGATAGATATTCTTCGGATGGGGCGAGAGAACCTTCCCAGCGATTTGGGGAGACTTGTGTCATACCAGACCATTGTTGTGGTGTGAGAGTGTGTTTTGAGATGATGTTTCGCGATATGCAGGTGTCTAGGAAACGGCTCGATTAGGGGACATTGTTGCTTGTACTTTGTTTGATATGTGATAACGAATAGCTAACTTCCTAAGTAAGTGGATCTCTGCTTCATTGCCCACTGCAGTGGTTACAGTGAGTATTCTCACCATTCATGGATTAGGATTAGTTCTCACTTGCGGCGTAGTCGATTCATTTCACCCGCTCCTAAGCAGGTTCAGTCATGTAAATAAACCCTGTTGCCCCACGCGCATGTTTCTTTGTTAATTATCTACTAGTATGGGAGATGGTGTGAGTCCTCGTATCAATATACTTCATAGGGCATTCTTACTTAGCTACGCCAGTGGTGGGTGTCATTCCTCAATGTAATGCTAGTACTTCCGCCGTTAGTAGTACTAGTTTGCTTGCGCGGTGGCTGCCGGCACCAAGTATATATAAAGCCGAGTTGGAGGGCATTCCATGAGAAGACCAACAACTTGAAGATGAATTGATCTCTACTATGTACAGGAGGCGAAGAAAACAAAACAGAGGCTAGTATGAGAATAGTTTATGATGAGATACAGTAGTAGAGTTATAATGTGTTGGCTAATCATTGTGTAATCGAAGTATCAAGTTCCCGTATAAGTGCAAGTGGGTAGATAAAAGGAGAACCAACACTAAGGTCTAGTGATGATTGGGCTACATGAACAATAGGGAATCCTCAACTCCGCAAGTTGGACTTGACGGGAGAGGCACTACGGGAAAACATTCATGGTTTTCGTAGTGGTGGCCCGGTAGGAAAGGACCTGCCCGGTAGGGTCTGGCATGGAGTAAGTAGTAAATTCGGCTATGAGCAATTAATTGGAGTCGCAGCTTGAGTGAGATATTTGAGACTGAGAGTAACCACCGGGTTAACTGCTCATTCGAGCTCTCTGATTCACGAGAATCATACAATAAGTCAAGTAGAAGTATCGTGTCTGATATTCAATGGGAAGACTCGAGTAGTGCTTGTCGCAGAATAATATTCTGGAGGAAGGATAGTCTAAACAGGCAGTCATGGCTCGACAGCAGTGATGGACTCCCACCAGACAGGACTGAGCCGTAGGTAGCTGTAGCCTGAACATGTACGGGACAACTCTCCTTTGTCGCCAGACAAGGGTCAGTCAATATGAGCACTTGCCTGACGCGTATATACCCCCGGTCTAGAAATTATTTACATAATTACGTGTCTACTAGTGTTCTCTTCTCCATGCCCCCGCGCAAGGCGAAGAAATGATGAAAAGAAAAGGATTCCACAAAGTGGAGGAGTGCCAAAGAATACGCCTGTCAATGACCCGAAGGCCGTTGAACGGATTGTTCCGCCGCGCTGTGCAATGCAGGGACCAATCCGTGGTGGACCGCCTTCTTGATCGCAGCCACCCAAACAAGGTAAGTATGAAGAAAAGAAAGAAAAAAAAAGATTCTAAAAGTTGGGCGGGCGAGCGAAGATTATATACCCGTTGGTGGAGGCGGTGAAAGAACGCTAATGGTAAGCGAGCTTGGTTCCGCCAATCAGAGACATAGGGTATCAAAGGCACTTGATGCCTCAGACAGATGGCATCAAATACTTCAGCTACACGTGATTGATATCACGTGCACCTGCGAAGTTTTGGGCGGCCGGGAAAGCATGGGAAAAGAGGCCGACGGGCAGCGAGACAGACAAGAAGACATCTGCTAGCAGGCCATACCCTGCCCATATCGCCATCATGAGGAACAGGGCGACCCAGCATCTGAGCAAGCCGGTATGAAAATATTCCCTGCTCTGTCTCCTTGCTCATCTGGCCGCAATTGCTAATTCTTGTATGCTTTGCTTAGAAAGTCCGGCAATCATGGAGCAAATGGAACCTATATAACATGAAGCGGTTCTCCATCAAGAACCCCATGTTCCGAACTCATTTCCAGCAAAAATGGGATGCCAAATCGATAGCCCGTGGATATCATGGTGAACAGGTCTCCGAAAAGCACTGGGTGCGCATGTTCTCTCCCCGCATTCGCAGCGTGATGCCCATGGATCCCGCCAAACTGGCCAAAGACGATGGTTCTGCCTTGTCCGCCGGTCGTGGTATGGGTGTTGAGCCGCGGCCTGATCCAGCCGCGTACTCTAAAGTCTCGAGGCTCGAGAGAGTCGAGACCGATCAACTGGACAGACCTTTTCCCTATACACAGGCGACTTTTGCTCCCCTAGAGCGCCGGCTGGATGTGGCCGTCTTCCGGGCTATGTTCGCCAGCAGTACGAGGCAGGCGCGGCAATTTGTCATTCATGGAGCGGTCACGGTTAATGGAAAGAAGGTGAGTGTGCCTGGGACGCTGCATGGTCCTTTCCATTTAGGCGCTGCCATTGAAAGCTGATCAGTTACGTTTGACAGATGAGATACCCCGGTTACCTGCTCAACCCTGGTGATCTGTTCCAGGTCGAGACCGACCGTGTCATGTTTGCCACCGGTGCTCCGAAGAACAAGTACGACCGGCGCGCGGCCCGTATTGCTGAGAAGGAAGCGGAGAAGGCAACGGAAAAGAAGGCCGAGGAAGCCGAGGAAGAGGGTGAGGCCAAAGAGGAGGATAAGCAGGAGGATAAGCAGGAGGTCCAGTCCCCGCGCCAGACCTTGCAGGCTCTGCTGTCTCAGGCCAAGAACATCATGGCCGACAGCAAGTCGGTGCTTCCGGCCAAGCGGAAGCAGGAGCTGCGTGGATTTCAGAAGGCCGTCCGTCGCGTGCTGTCTCGCTCTGATTCAAACGTTCTCGCCGACAACCTGGAGGCTCAGTTTTCCGAGCTGACTCTGCTGCTCAAGGCCAAGAAGGTAGAGAAGAAGGAAAGACAGGATACCACAGCTGCCAACTCCGAGAAGTCCACCAACACCAAGGCCGCTGCTGAGGCAGACAGCGAGACTCAGCCCGGCGATAAGCTGTCCGAGGCATTCCGCCAGGCTGCTGAGAACCCCGAACAGGAGGTGGACACGTCCGAGTTGACCGATGAGGAGTTCCAGATTCTCCGTCGTGCCCTTGTCCAGATGCGTGATAACCCGATCGACCATTCGAAGCCGTACGCTACGCCCTGGCGGCCGCGGGACTTCATGAGCGCTTTTGCCACGATCCCTCGCTACTTGGAGGTGCACCCTAAGGCTTGTGCGGCCGTTTACCTGCGCCACCCCGTGGTTCGTCCGGGCTTGTCGGAGGTGCCGTCGCCCTTCAGTCCTGCGACTGGAGCGCTGGCATACCACTGGTACCTGAGACGGCGGTAGACGCATGAGAAATGCTTGTACTAATTAGTTGCCCTCCTCTGTTTTTGTTCTTTGGGTTTATTTTCGCTGTTCTGCGGGCATGTTCCACAGTCTTATTGTATTACTGGGTCGCTGGTTTGATTGTTTCTTAGATCTTTCTCTCTGCATTGTCGGTGTGCTCACCGTGTATCTTTATATCTATCTGTCTGGTCCTCTGTTGATTGGAGAGGGTCAATATCATGTTGCAGCGGTGTTGGAGCAGGATGATCACAAATGTAAATCACCAATGAAATATATCCTCACTTCTTACTATTATTCTCACTCTTTTTTACATTCAAATTATCCTATACAGTCTAATTTCTAAACACACTCCGTATGATCTCTACGTCCACCATTTTGACGCGATACCGCATGTATTGTATACCTGCCAAAAAGGGAAGTGACCATGGTGGTCGGCTTACCGTCAGCTGAAAAATACACGCCGGGCCCCGATCGGCGGGGGGCTTTTCGCCTGTCAACCCTCGAAATTGCAAATCCGACCGAGCAATTTTCATTTCGATTTCGATTTCGACCTCGACCTTCGACTTTCCTTTTCCTCGATCTTTCCTCTTCAATCTCCAGCACGCCGGCAGTGCGTCCACTGCTGCTGCTTCATCCCCATCGTCCTTTTTTGTTATTTCTTGTCTTCTTTCTTATACCCCGCCAGTCGCACAGGCAGTCCAGTATCACAGACCATGTCAATGTATCCCTGGCATGGCTCCACGACCAATGCCGCCGCCGCCTCTTCTGGACCTCGCATCGACTCCCCCTCCTCCACTCCTCAATCCTCCCTACAAGTGCCTGGGTTACGATGGCTCCCGTCTATGATATCGCGCGCAACACCTCTTCCCACCTTGTCGTCTTCCAATCTTCGTATAGCCCAGCAACAACAGCAGCAGCAGCAGCAGCAGCAGCAACAACAACAGCACCCATCGCCGCAGCCTTCTCAAACACCACCGCAGCCGCAGCCGCAAACTGCCCTCTCCCATCCTCACACCCATTCCCATCCACACAATCACCAACCAGCACGCCCGCAAACGCGCCAACCTGGACCAGCTATTATCGATTCGCGATCCCAACAACCACTGACTGAGACCCTTGAAAGCGAAGCAAGTGACAATACGGATCCCGGTGCGCGCGACCCCACCCACGCCGACGCTCTCGCAGATCCCGATTACGGCACATCTCCCGATAATCTAGCTCAGGGAACGAATATTTCCCGACAGTCCGCACATAGACCTACGACTACCGCTGGGGTTATGCCTAACGGCACCGCGGCTAATCGAGCCGCACTCCATGCAGCAGCAGCCAGTATCGTTAGACCCTATCCAATGGAAGACCATGACGACGATCCCGATGGCGCGCCAAACGGCGATCGGTCGCGCAAGCATGGAAAACGGTTGACCACCCTTGAAGAAGTCTCGTTGTTCAACATCTGCAACCGGCACGCGAGCGAATTCGGACAGCGCAGTAATCTCTGTAAATGGTGGATGACTGTTACAGAAGAGTTCACCCAGGACCAGGGACACCCATACTCGTGGCATTCGGTGCGCCGTAAAGTGGAGTTGGTTACAAAACAGCGGATGAAGTTCCTCGACGAGCAGCGCGACAAGGGTGCGGACGCGAGCGAAGACCTATCGAATCCCCGGTGGCGGGCAGCAGTGGACGCATGGATTCCTACATGGCGGAGGTGGGAGGACGCAGAGGCACGGCGTATCGAGAAGCGCGATTCGCGCAAACCGAGGAAGAGGAAAGACCGGCCATGGGATACATGGACTATGAGTCCCAGTGACGAGTGGAAGGGCACAGCAAGCCCGCTTCCTACTGTCAGCCAGCACCAACCTGGACCAGTGACTCCTGTTTCGCAGAGCACAGTGCGACTACCCCCAGGGTTCGATAGTATGTTTTCGAATCAAGGACTACAGACCCCATCGCCGGCGATTAGTATGCCGGATGGGCTTGCGACACAACAGCGGGCAACACCTTCCACCACTCCAGCAGCTGCAGCTGCTTCCACAAATAATCCGCCTTCAGGGACGGATAATTCTATGATGAGCGCTATGCTGGAGACACTGGGAAAATTGAACCGTCACCTCGACTCGGTTAATACCCAGCCTACCTCATCTACGCCCAAGAAACCGACGTCACCCTCCAGATCCCGTGCTCGCGAACAGCGCCAGGACGCTCAACCAGCGGAACTCAGCACAACTACAAACGATCCCCCTCCTGCGTCCGTCGCCCAAACCGGACTCACGCACCTGTCAGCCGATTTCATCAACAAACTTAAAGATGAACTCCGACAGGAAATGCGCGCTGAAGTGCGTGCCGAGCTAGAAAGAGATCGAGCCACACTTGAAGAGAAACTGGACTCGGTGCAGCGGACGCAGGAAATGATCCTTGAGATGTTGAGACAGGAGCCTGCTTGAGAATTTGCTTTTTTCTTCCTCTCTCATTTTCACTTTCTCATTCTCTCTCTCATATTCACTATATCCTCTTGCTTTCTGTTTAAATATTCGTGCGTCTTTTTATTTTACCAGATGATACCCATGGACGAGTATGTCGACTTTCTTATATTCTATCTCTTTTTATTAGCTTTCACATTTTTTTCCTATATCCCTTGAATGCTGCAGTACGGATATGCTACTGGACTGAGTGACTGACTGCTGGCAACATCCTTTCTCTTCTCATTTCATATTTCAATTCTTTCCATTTTCATATAATATTCACTATGACCTTTCGGGGAAACAATACATATATAACCTACCTATACTTTCACTACACAAGTTCCATATCTGTAGGACGTCGTGTTTACTCGACACTACGACAGAGACGACAGACATCTAAGCTCCCAGAAGCATACTCCCCAACTTAATGCTTTACAGGTATAGACATACTAGCTAGTAGGAGAGGACCTGAAACTTCAAGATATTGAAAGCTTGGAGTAATGCAAAAGATATAAATAAAAACAGAAAAATTTCCCGGGCTAAATTACATAGTAAACATATCCATGGTATGGATGCCTTTGCGTAGTAAAGTAAGTAGTAGGTAGGAGCCTGCCAATCCCAAATGGTCTGGTTGCGTGATGTGTGTGCGTGCGCGGTCTAAACTTTTGTGTTTTCAAACAAAGAGAAAAAACAAAAGGATGACCTACTTCCTTCACTTGCTCCTCCTTTCTTCTTTCTTTTTTTTTCTTCTTCTTTCCTTGTCATCATCATCCAGAGTTCTTGCCAACTGAAGGTTCATCTCTTCACACTGGAAAATAGGGAGCCTTGTGTTTTTAAAGAAACATATCTAGATTTGAATTGGAGTGGTTATGGGTATATCTAGTAGTAGAAGGTCTCGTCGACAGTGCGACCACGCATCCACTTGGGCTCGGAGCCACGGACGTAGATGTCTTCGAAGAGAATGCGGGGGGTGTTATCGGGAAGGGGCATCTTCTCGGCGATGGCGACCTCCTCGTCGACGTGGGCACGGGCGGCCTTGTCGAGGGACTTGAGCTCGTCCTCGGAGCAGACGTTCCAGTCGAGGATCTTCTGCTTGAGACCGGCGATGGGGTCGTTGGTGCTGCGCATGCGCTGGATCTCCTCACGGCTACGGTAGGTGGTACCGGGGTCGGACATGGAGTGACCACCGTAACGGTAGGTGACGTACTCGTAGACCAGAGGGCCGTTGCCGGCCACGGCCCAGTCCTTACCGTACTTGACGGCGGCCTTGGTGGCCAGGACGTCCATGCCGTTGACCTTGATACCAGGGATGTACTGACCACGCTTGTAGTACTCGGTCAAGGCGGAGGAACGAGCGGCGGAGGTACCCATACCGTACTTGTTGTCTAGTGGAAGATTATTAGCTATGCCTGCCGTGAAGAATAGTGTCGGAGGAGTGAAGTTGACTTACTCTCACAACCGAACAGAACGGGGAGGTTCCACAGCTTGGCCATGTTGAAGGCCTCGAAGACCTGACCCTGGTTGGAGGCACCGTCACCGTAGAGGACGATGGAGGTGGTGGGCTCCTCGTTGTACTGCTGGGCGAAAGCGAGACCAGCACCGACGGGGACCTGAGCACCGACGATACCGTTACCACCGTAGAAGTTGGGGGCGAACATGTGCATGGAACCACCCTTTCCGTAGGCGATACCCTCACGGCGACCAAGCAGCTCACCGATGATGGAGCGGACGGTACCACCACGCATCATGGCGAAACCGTGGCAACGGTAGGCAGTGATAACCTTGTCGTCGCGGGTGATAGCGTGCTCGATACCGGTGGCGACGGCTTCCTGACCGGTAGACAAGTGGCAGAAACCTCTGATCTTCTTCTCCTTGTAAAGACGGTCGGCGGCCATCTCCATACGTCTGAGCAATAGATTAGATCCTGCATGAGGCTTGTGGAAAAAAGCAAAGGGCCTAACGGCGGCCATACCTCATCGAAACCATGTCGTAGTACATCTGCTTGAGCTCCTTCTTGGTGATCTCCAGGGTGTACGGGGGAGGGTCGATCTCGTAGGTCTCGAAGCTCTCGTCAGAGAGGCGGACAGTGAAGGGCTTGTCATCCTCCTATAGACAGATGATAATCGCATTAGTTGAGGCCATTGCGGAGGTCAATCCGGGATATCCAGGGAGCTCTCAACGAACCTGGGGGACATTTTCAGCATGCGACGAAGCGGCGTCGGTGGTGACGGAGCGACGAGCAAGAGGAGTGAGGGCCTGACGCCTCAAGGGCGCGGACTGACGGACCGCAGCGCGGAACAACATGATGGACGAGAGGGAGGGTCCAACCGGGGAGGGTATAGAGGAGCTGGAGGAGAGGAAGGGAGATTCTGTTATCTTCAACTTCCTCAACGGAGATGTTGGGAACAAACTTTCCCCTGCGGCTAGGCGGAATTCGGCAGGCGGCTTATCTAAGCCCGCTTCCCTTCCCTTCGGGGCCGTCCGGTGTAGGGCCCCTGCAAACCACACAAACACCTGTTCTTTTCACGCCTGCTGCTTCTTTTATTCTTCTACTGGCCTCAATTCACTCATTTCTTTGATTCTCGCTCTCTGCTACCGCTATCAATACACAGGCTCATCTTTCTCCCATCAATTGAGCTTGTCAATTGCGCCATTGAGCTCGTTACGGCGAACGGGCCCCTCTGATCGCCATGGTCAACCAACCACATCACTCCTTCGCTGTTTATCGGACCTTTGTTCACCCGATCACTGGCCAGACCGACTCTTAGCCTAAGGCAGTACTGGGTTCCGTGTCTTTCCGAGCCTGTCTCAGCGTTGATTCAACAAAGGCGGTCACGTCCTCACAGATAGTATGGCGACATGCGTGATAGCATGTAAATATGGGCACCATCACTACTGTCCCAACCTAGAATCAGCACATCTCTATCCAGCAGAAGTGATCGCTATTGCATTAGATTTTGAACACCGGCGGTCATAAGCTGCCATCAAGCTCAGGCGGACAAAAGTCCGACCACATGGTTTCCGAGCTAGGTCTTATATCCGATAAGCGCAGCAGCTCACTGCGTCTATCTCTTGACTCTGCCCTCCAAATGCAAATGTGGGTGAGACGAAGCCTTTAACTGAGTTCGGCTCTCCAGACAGCTTTGCCTCAGACAGCTTCGCCTATCCTACAATACCTGAAACAGACGCCGCATGCCTTGCATACATTCTGGCCCCATGCATACGGGTCCGTCAAAGCCACGTTCACTACGACTACACTATGGCGGTGTTAGTTGGGGCCAGAAATAGAAGTCATTTATAAGTTGGTATACTTACAATACGAATCCTGTAAGACCCAGGTTGGGGCCAGTTCGTTGCGCCACGTGCTGCTCAGCCATGTGCGACGGGCCAGCAATCTGCATGACAGGCTGACACGATGGCTGATAGCCAACAACAATGGCCGACTACCCAACAGATATACGCGCAAGGACTCCAATCCTCTAGGTTACCCATCTGCATGGACGCTTGCGAGATCTGGCCCACGATAGGGATCCTGCGGGACCTTTGCATTGCCAGGGTAATCCCGCGATAGCCGATATTCTAGCATATACGCGATTGGTGAGAATTTAGCACACGGAGGGAGCTGGTCAGGCTTGGGACTGATGTCATACAACCTGAAGTCGAGCCCAGCAGAGATATAGGATCTGGATCTGATTCGACTGCTCCGTTGCGCGGAACGAGACAATCATGGTAGAACCCACTGTAGCGAAGCATTAACGGCCCGAGACCTCCGATCGTTGTGGGCTCGATTGCATTGTCGAGAAGACATATGCGACTGCCCAGCTTCCAGCAATGGAAGGTAATGAAGCAGAGAGTGGTAAATGCGCCCCAACCGAGGGTGTATACATGTAACATGTTCTGCGTAGCGTCAGCATCGGTATCCAGCCATGGGGCGAAAGTGTCATCTTCCGTCGGCAGAGGACAGGAATACTAGCACAGCGTACTGCAGAAAGGAATCTGACAGTCACGACTCTGAATCCTAAGAGGCAGTGCTGATGTATATACTACTTCACAGTTGTCATAAACGGTGCGCACGACATCAGCCCATGACGCAGCCATAGATGTAGATCGATTCTCAAATCCGAGCATCAAAGGAATAGACGGAGCAACAACCTAGCGAGAGACCGTCGGCAGCGTCTCAGCCCAAGACGGGAGCGACCCCCTTGCGAAACATGGCAAGAGAAAGTGGATAAGCTGAAGGTGACCCAAATTAAGAAACTATATTACTTTACGCACGGAGATGGTTCGTCACGGGGCTAGAAATGGAAATCCAGCGGACCTTCCTTTTCCATCGGCGCTAGTTGCTTTCCTGTGTAACCGGTTAGTACGTAAAATACTACTTACTATTCCAGAGGGAAGGAAGAACGAGCTATTCTCGATTTCTCACAATCAGGGAGAGCAAGGCGTAGCAGGGCTGGTTGCATACACGGGAAAATTGCGGATATATTTGGGGGCTAATTCCGTCCAGTTACTTTTTTAATTGTTCAACCCGGAATTCCAGATTTTGGGTCAGCGGGTGAGATGGATGCAGATGTGTAGATCATGGCCTGTGTGTGTGTGTGGCCTTGACCCCAACTGGAGCGGTGTTGGTCAGTCGCAAAGTGGGAAGGTAACATTCTTACATTACGAGGATGATAGAATACTTGCGATTTGTAATTTTTGAACTTTCTTTTCGTTTTCATTTCCACACTCCTTTGAATGGAAGGACAAAAATGAAAGCATTGAGCTGGAGAAAACAGAAGAGGTAAAAAAAGGACATACTGCCTTTTCTGGACTGCTGTCCGACGATAGTTTCTCCCCCTCTGACTCGGATACCAACCCTAATGGGCATTCTGGGGTGTTCTAGAAAACCAGAGGCTATTTTCCCATTTGTCGTGTTCTGAAAGCTGTGAACTTTGTTCGTTATAGTGGGGGTGTTTCTCTTGCTGATAAAGTTTGGTTAGCGGGTTGAAAATGGGCTTGGTAAGTATGTTACAATGGCGTTGTTACCTGGTTTTTGGGTATCGGTGAAATAATACCAACGTAGCAAAAGTAACATGTTTTCAAATCTTTCCTTGGTTAATGGGTTTGGGTGACACAAGTCCATCTAAGCCTTGGAGGATTTGTAATTCGCATTGCACGACATAGTCGATATTTATTGCAGGTATTATGCATGCAGGGTGGTGTTGGTGTCACATTATGTCCTGCATGCCTGGGTCTCTGTGTACCATGCGGGGAGGGGCATAGTCGGCTACTATTGCCCTGGGAGTTTGAGGGAATGAAAGGAAGCCATGTCTGCTGAGCTAAGGGAATCACTATTCTTAATTAGAAGTTGTAATACGTAGTGTAACAGGGATTTGCGTACGGATATAGCCCAGGATAATTATCGGAGACTGCGGGGTCAGTTCCAACTGACCGTGGCCTAGATCTGGAGACTACCATCATAGTATCCTCCAATCCTATGGAGCCCACGGGGCATAGGGCCTCTTCAGAGAGTTTTGTTAGGCTAAGTTGAACCTTACTTGGTCTTGTCATCAGTCAATGTTACATTGTCACAAGTCAAATTGTCCCTATTAGCTAAGACATAGACTTAGCGTGCCCAGCCTTCATGGATGCCAATAGTGCGAATGATGAAAGTAGTCTACAATGCCGTAAGTAAACACAATCATTGACTGAGCTATACTAACGTACATCTTGAAAGTTGACATAATTTGGCATCCCTATATCGGATGGAACCCCTCATATCACATCAACATCGCTGGCCTTCATAGCCCCAGCATGTGCCACAACACTGATACTTTACTCACTCCTCCATAGCAATGCACACGTGCATTTGGCCGCTTAATGCCCCTTAATCCCTACATAAATCACCTACATAGGTGCACAGCATATTGTGGGTCAGACTGGCACATCTATCCCTTACAACCCGGAATAAAATTGCGGACATTATCTTGCACCGGCGGACCATTATGCGAGAAAATGGTGCAACATGTTGGATTAGAGCGGGAAGGGATCATCTACTTGGTATGATCTACTGAAACACGTCCAGCTCGCTGAAACTGCTGCGTAATGAGCTTGGATGCAGAAGACTGCGCGGTTTTATCCCGGAGGCTTCGGGCTTGTAATAGTATTGTACTTAGTATCAAGGGTATAAATTCTCGCGAGAATGTGTGTTGATTGATAGAGAAATGATAAGAGGTTTGCCAAGTAAATATGACATCAAAAACAATTGAGGGGTTGAGGTTGGCACAGTGGAAGTTAAGGGCTCTGCTGAGGCATCAAGCTGTTTTGTTGAGATGCTTGCCTTACTGCTCTATGGCATGACACAATTTGTCTACTATGCTCTCTAAAATATTATATTATTCCATTTATGTGTACTAAGAAGCACACTGGAGGAATTAAGTAGGTGTGAAAGTCATCACAGATGTTCATACTGTTCATGGTCATGGCGGGACTAGTTGCCGTGGATTATTGATCCAATGTTTAATCCGATGTCCTGCGGTGATTTTGTATGATTGATAAGTGAGAGTATTCTGGTCAGTAAAACAAATCAATGATTACAGATCTCAGTAAGTAACTAGTACGGTGTCCGCGGACATCTAGATGGCTTAGATCTGTGACAGCATTGGCCACTCCGAGGCTATAGTAGCATCATTATGGTAATGTCCTCTTGAGGATTTCAAATATGATGCAGGTCAATTTAGTCAAACTAATACCTAGAAAGAAAATACTCCTGTTACAGATCTTGAGAATACATTCGCGGGTATTTGATGGTCTGGCCAATGTGTCTAGAACTACGATAGTGCATGCACCCTTTTCAATCCCTACCACCATCTCCAGCTACAAAATATCCCGCCCACGAAGAAGAAAGAATCCATGAGCAAGAAACAAGAACGTAGTAACTAGACAGCGTAATACACAAGCAATCCCATAAAACGACATCAAAATCTACAAAGAGTAAACAATCCCACAAACCAAAACCAAAGTAAAGTGCTGACCGAACATCCTTAAAGACAACACGATTACTTACCAGATAAACCACTCATGATCGACACTTGACAGCAACTACCTAACCCATTCAAGTCATCTCTGCGACTACTACTCCGTACTTACTCCGCGAAATCTCCTCCCTTAGTGACCACAGCACCGCTCACCTAAACGGAAAGCGGGCCCGAATAGGTATGGGTACTAACCACCCAACCCCAACATCTATCAAAGTAAACTTCGAGTCTAACAACTTAGTCCGACAACTCGAGTCTCAAAAAAACCAGAAATCCTCCTTTAGCAATGACGTACGTACTTTCGGCCTATCTATGTTTGTACATGTTTTCTTTCTCTCTCCCGTGTCCCTTTTCTTTACGACAGCCCGCACAGTGGGGATGGGTTTATATCCAATCCCGCTGACAAAGACAGGGATTATGGCAATGAAGGTATTTTAATTGGCGTTGAGAAATCTAGAATCAATAATAGGGTTTGATGAATCCGCCAATCAATGCTTGGAATTGGCACTTTCAGACAGGTCCATATGTAGGTAGTAGGTCGGGTCCCTACGTTACGGGGCACGGCAAGGTTATAGTAGTAGTAGTCTACCTACCTAATCTTGTGCTCGAACCATGGTAGGCCAGCGACAATCCCGATCCTGGATTATCAAACGCCGGAGGAATCGACTTATTTACGGAAGATCGTCGGGGAATCTACTTGCTTAGTTTCCTAGTGACAAGTTATAGTTATAGTTATAGTATTGGAGGGGGGGGAGGGAGAAAGCAAAGTACCTTGCGTCAATAAGATGGACTGTGCGGGAGTGTCAATGCTGCATTGGATAACTACCTTTGTCGGGAGCCGAAGTCGGGGTAAGACGAGTCAGTGAGTAGTAGTAGGTGTCGGGACTAGGGGGCATTCCCGGAAATGCGAAGCAGGAGCAGCAGCAGCAGCAGCAGCAGGAGCTGAAAAACGAAGCGTCCGTGCAGGGAGTGGCTACTGTATGCGGGTTTAATTGATTGAAGGAATGCAGGTCATTGGACGTATGCAGAAATGAGGACAAGAGAAAAAAGAAAAGTAGGAAAATTGCCTTGTAAGTGGCGCTGCTGGGCGGAGGGGGGAGTTTTACATATCATAAACTTAGGGCACATCGGTCATGACAAGTCCCATCAATTTCAAGGAATGGATGCACTACTTTACAGTAGATTCTACTGTGTCCATCTGTGCGTCTAGTTAACTTCGTGTTGCCTGACAATGAGGACGGAGGTGATCAGACCACACCTAAAAGCAAATCCCGCAGGTGCCTGCATCGATGGGAGTGAATCGGTACTTTGTGTGTGTTTGAAACATCGAGTGTCATTTGGCCAACCTGACCATAAGGGGAAGGAGGCTTGGATGGCATGGTGAACCTAGTCTAGTCAGTAGTTGCTAAGTTCTGCCCCAAAGTTGGATGTTGGAGGGGTGGTTTCACGATTGTTTCAGGGGATATATTGGATAACAAGAATACTATTACTGCCCGCCCCCGGCATTTCTGTATTCTTCATACAGTGAACTCGTTAGTCGAGCTCCAATTACCAATTGCTGAAGGGCCGAAAGTAACCAGAATGAAAAGGAGCTAATAGACACCGTCAAGTCTTGGTGCGAGTGGTATTTTATCTCAGATATTGCAATGTGTCGGGATTACTCTTTTCAGCATGGTTGCGCCCGTAGTCATGACCCGAACTACGCCGGATAGAGTAGCGGATAATACTCCGTATTAACTATCAATTTGCAGAAAACGTCAGTCTAGATTAACCCAATACAACATGTACCAAGGCAGTTCTTGGTCCGACTGATCCATTAACCAAGATTTGACCTTGGCCGTTGAAGTCATAAGGCGGATATTTGACCTGTCCAGCGCCATGATGGGGTAGGGTCAGGACAATAATCTAGGGGCTTTGGGCACTGGCAGGTGAGGGCGTCTCTCATCACCGACTCAAGACCCGTGCATGATTATGGGGCCAATGCACCCTTCTGCATATCATTGCGATAGTTCCTGAAAACTAGTGAGTAATGTTGGGGTCTTGTTGGGTAGTTATGTGATCTTGCATCATTATATTTATTGCTGAGGTAACACAGATGCGGGTA